TCTGTTCCTTTGCTAACCACTCTGTCTCCACATTGAGGAACTGAAATGATACATAATCCCTGTCCCTAGTCATTGGAGAGAGCTGAACAACTCTGCAGGGTGATTCAGAGGCTTTTGAAAATGCTGAGCAGAGGCTTGACTAGAGCTAGTGAGGGCAACGGCAAGCACAAGGACTTGGATGAAGTTAAGGCCGTCTGAACGTGGCCAAGGGACAGTGTCAGGCTAAATTTTGTAAGAAAAGGCTTACTTTTAGAAGAACTTACAGTTTTATAAGTTACAAAGAACTTTATAGTTTTATAAACTTAAAAAGGCCAAGTTTTATAAGAAAAAGACAAGCTTTAAATGAAAGGGGGTTTTTTGCCCCTTGACACCAGCTGCAAAAGTAATCACCTGTCCCTCTGGCATAGAGTTTATGGCCAGATTTTAAAACCTGTAATTGGCAGTGCAGCATTTTCAGAGTTTTGAAGTAGCAGGAGTTGCTGCTGGCTTACTGGAAAGCAGCGTGTCAAACAACATACAAAAATTAGATACTGCTGCTTGTAGTGCACGAAGCTGTGGCTTTCAGGGATCTTTGCTCATGCAGGTGGCAGTGCCTTTGCTCCCTGAGCCAGCTGTGAAAGGATCTTTTCATTGCTCCTGTGTGATTAGAAACGAGTTATAAATGTCACATCAGACCAGTAGCTAGCAAGGCCAAAACACTACTGCAATAGTGAAGGATCGACAGTCTTAATGATTAAACTAAAAGGAAAGAAAACAGAGTTGGAAGGAAGAGGATAAGGCAAGTAAGTTACAAATACCATGTGCCAGTATAGTGTTCTGTAACAAGCTTTACACCGTAATATTAACAAGTAAACAATTTTAAAAAGTCAATACTGGCTTGCTATACCAAACTAAAAACATGGCTAAACTCACAGAGTTCTACTCTTTCATTACCAGTGCTCATGTGCAGGTCAGGAAGCTCTCACACAAGTGTTTGTGGTGTTCAACAGCAGTTTCAGCACAGGTGTGCTATAAACACATTATGCAAAATCTCAAAATGGTGGTTTGTAGTTTTTTAGCTTTCTGGAAGACATCTCAGACATGAATGTCCCTTCTTTCCATAATTTCCTTTGTGTGTTCCTTTTCCACCCCAAGGCTGTGACTATATGTTAAGTTAAATAAAATTAAATCCTCTTCTGCTTTTTTGCTCTTCTGTTTTCAGGGTGGGAATGACTATGAAATTTTCACAGACTCCAGAACAGAAGGCCACAGTGTCACATCCCCACAGGATACAAGAAGAATCTGTGAAGAGCTATTTTTTAAATAAAAGACTTTTAGAATTCACACTTACAAAACGGTTAAGACAGCTTAATAACTCAAAATATCTTCCTTCGTTCTATATTGGTTTTTGTAATTGGTCATGAATAGCAAGTGCTTTGCAGGTCAGTCATTACTGAAGGGAAATGTTTTAATTGAAGAGAACCTTGCTGACTGGTGGAATACAGCAGAGCTCATCTAGCACCATCCTTTCACTGTCTCCATTCACACAAGTACTTTGTTTTCTTTTCGGTGGGTTTGGGTTGGGGTTTTTTTGTTGTTGTTTTTACTGTTGTTGTTTTTTAAGTAATCAGTAAACTTCCTTAGCTAATTAATTACATTGGGGGGCAGGGGGGGAAGGAAATAATCTGCCTATAGTTGATTTATGATCTCAAAATTGGCCTGCAAGGCTTTATCCCTAGTTTTTATTTTGAAGCTGCTATTTAAAAGAGGGAACGTTTTAGAGTTGTTTTTAAAATACTACCTTGTGGTATAAAGACATGAATTGTAAGACAGTTGGGATTTTGCTGTTTAAAACTGGAAGATGAGTAAAAGAGACAGGTTTTATTTCTTTCTGGGGGTGGGAAGGTAGAACTGAGCCAGAAGTCCCTGATCCCATGGTCAGAAGGAGCATCGGCTCTACCACCACTGGAAAGGCTGGACAGCTGGTGCTAAAGTTACCTCCTCAGTACAGTCGCGGTGCCAACGCACAGTACAGTTCATGGTACCTATGCTTTCTGTAGACTGTTTTTAAATCTAAAAAAATAAAAAATACATAAAACTTAATCAAAACAACTTGAGCACAGTAGCAAAATGTGTTTCTGTCACTAACTACATTTCTGATTTTCCTGGTAAGACATTAAGGGTAGATGAAATTTTTATACTAAGAAAAATGACCTAAACTATGTTTCTATTAAAATTCAAGTTGAAGTATGACAATCAGCGTAACCATTAATATTACTTTTCTCATCGGGCATTAGAAAAGTAATATTGTGTATTAGCAGTTTAATTTAGTAAAGGAGAATAAAATCTCATTTTATCATGAAAAATTACTATTTCAATTTGTCATTTTGGCAAATAAAGTACGTAAAGCAGACCTGTTGTATGCTGCCTGTCTGTACAAAGGAACAGTTGAGTTGAATCTCCAATTCCAAGTTTATGTGATACTTACCTACATAGTAAAAAAGGGGAGAATACAATCTTCGTGTACAAACCAAAATCCCCAAAAGGGCTTACAAAAAAAGGAGGGGGAGCTGTGATGCCCTCGTGCATCAGAACTATCTAGTCTTCGAACACCCTTCTCATGTGCCTATTCCATAGGGTAATTCAGCCTCCACCATTTTAATGGGTGCAGACTTTGGACCAGAACCACCTGTAGTGCAGGAAGGCTCTTTAAAGACGGCCAGATTTTAATGGCTGCTGCGTTGTGTGTACACATATGCGATGTATCTGATTATTTGGTTACTTAATGCATGGTTGTTTCCTACATTTGCAGAAAGTTACCTATGCAAAACACCCTGTGCAGGACCAAAACCAGGATTGTTTCCAGCTTCGAATATCTGTGTGCACATACCTGCACATGTTCAAATCTGAAAAGTTAGCCTGCTAGTCAGCCTTGCGCAGCCATTGCCAATAGCTAAGGCAACAGATGAGAAGCAGTCAGTGTGTCTCTGGGGGGAGAAGAAACAGAAAACAAAACAAAGCAACCCACAGTGCCGAGTCCCTTGTTCCCATCTTCCTCCAGCGTGAGTTTAAACAAACTGGAGGCACAACCCTTCCTGCCTTGGGCAGCCCCCGCTGGGGTCCCAGCCCCTGAAGCCTGACTAAAGCTTTGCTCCAACGTTTTGGAATACTGGCTGCTCTGTCTCGGGAGCCCCTTCTGAAATGTTCTGGCCTTCTTGCCCCAAAGTTTCAGATGAAATGACCAGGCTATGCCATCCCTCCCCGTTACCCCTACTATACGTTACTATAAATAATAGCCAATATTAAATATTATATTATGAAAATAAATGTATTTACAGAAGTAGCAGTATGTATTATACACTAACTTATTAAGCAGCTAGAAAACTTGCTAAATTACCCCCTAATTGTTCTAATAGTGACAGTCAGTTGATATTACAACGCTTTTTTAAAAAGTTTTAAATATCATCATACAGGTGTGTATATGCAGGCACCTGCATTCTCCTCTGTCTTTAATGCTAATCATCTTCAACGCCACCTACACAGAAAGCAATGAAGACATGTTAAAGCATTACAATGGTCGCATTTATTGTAAAGGAAGCAGTGTGTGATATTCCAACAAGCTGGATAGCGTTAAAACCACAACTACTAAGACTCACGGTTAATAAAAAAACCAAACAAAACCACAAAACCCCGCTACAGGCTGGTCATTATCGTACACTATAGTGTAATACTGGTAGAGCTGAGGTAAAACAAGCCATCACAGCAGCTACTAACCTCCATACATCTGTGCTCTCGCCAGGTCAGACCTCGGAACAGATCATCTGCTGTGAAAGTCTTAAGACATTTCATGATGGCAAGTGCCTACTGTTAAAACTGTAAATAGGCAACTGAAGTTATACTCTTTCACACGACTAACAGAAGAGTATCATGCCATCTTTTTTATTTTTTTTTTATTTGCAAAGTCAATAAAAATCCACTGTTAGGAACAGAATAGAGAAAAATGCTTCATTTGAAAAAAAGATGTGCAAGGCAAGTAGGAACAGAACTAACTTAGTTGCACTACAACTACATAAAATCTCGCAGGCAGAGAAGAGTCAGGGCAAGGGTGACCATATCACATCCCTACCAAGCACATTTTCCAGGGAAACAGCTGCAGAATCTACTTCACCGAGACAGCCAGGCCTATTAAGTAACTTGCACAGTACTTTATACATCTGAACTTTTAGTCATCTGAACAGCATATAACTTGCTTTTCAGAAGTACAGTTATTCTGCCTGCCCAGTGAAATACCATGGCAGACATTCAGCTATATGCAATCAAGAAGGTAATCTTCAGCTTTGTCTAAATTCAGACACAGTCAGAGGCTATGAAGTATCCGCTACTCTACAGCTTTCTACCACTTACCTTAAAGCAAATTTTTTAAATTTTGGTTTGGTGGGGGTTTTTTTTGTTGTTTTTTTTTTTTAATACTGGCCTATACAATCTGTTGCTAATCAACCATCAAGGCACCTAAGTAAATTCACAAACAACCCAGGCTTTAAAACCACAATATTCCACACACATGCAGACATGCCTTTTGCAAACAGTGCACCTGAAGGGCACCCAGCCATGGCCATCAGAGCATAACCACCAGATGGAGATTTTCCACCCTGCAGCAGCTGCTCTGTTTGCAAACTTCCTTCCATGAGGAAAACAAATCTCTCTCCCCTTCTCAAGCCAAGGCATTCAGGCACTGTTATCAGCAAGAAGTGTACTCCAGCCCTTACAGAAGAGCAGCACAAGGGAGCACCTCCGGGGCCTCGGAGCCGTGCCTCTGCTACGGCCGTCTGCCCTAGAAGAGCTCTCCTTCAAACCTCTCCCCGATTCCCCTGAGCATTTACTGGAATCAGTTCACAAGACAAAAGAAAAACCAAACCTCCCCCCTCCACCAAGCACACAAACTAGGTCTCTTTAAAATATGTTTTTTGTAAACACATTACGATAGATTTTTTTCATTAGCATCTGAATTGCCTTTTTTTTTTTTTTTTTTTTGAGGCCAGCTATAAAAATGGTAATTTTGGCCTACTTCTGCTTTATTAACAATGCAGTATTTCCTCCCGCACAATACGTAGAATATTCTTAGGACAGGTCTCCTGCAGCCAGTTGTTGAGCAGTGACCACGCAGGCAGTGGCCGCGTTCTGTCCGGGACGTCTCAGGAGCTGACGACGTGCCCCGACCAGGTCTCGTGCTTGGTTCCAGGAGCTAGATGGGTAATCACCACCTCCACTGCCTGAAGCTTCTCGTTCTTCGGTGGGATGGTGCACATCTTGTAGGTGACTTCGTCACCTGCCACGGGAACGTACTCGCCTTCAATACTGTGGAGGGGAAGCTTCAGTTAATCATGAATCACATAAACACTCTTTTTTGCAGCCTGTTTAAATTTTTATCATAATGATTATCTTAGGTGCTCAAGATACTTCAGGTTTTTTTTATAGAGCCCATCATCCACTAAAGCTTGAGGTTTATTTTGGTTGTCTTGCAGCAAAGTCCTATGAAAACACTATAAACACCACCATTCGCCCCCTAAAAAAACCAATCAACCAACCAAAAACAAACACAAAAAACCACACTCTAATATGCCTTAAAAGATAACGAGCTGAGCGTGATCATGGACAACATTGCTATGAACCACGCAACAACTTTACTCCCTGGCAGCACTAGAGGGCAGGGCTGACACTGTTTGGCACTTCGTTTGGGGTTTTTTTTTTTAAACTATAGGAAGTTGATCTTTTTTTTTTCTCCTCTCATGCTTCTGAAGCTTCCTCCCCCGCCTTTTTGTTTTTTATAAGAAGGGTTGTACCATGGCAGTCATTGATTTTACCTTTAGGTTACTCCACCATAACATAGTTCATCTGAGGTATGAAAAAAAAAAAAAAAGAGCCCAAGTAAGACACAGTGTGGCATACTTCAAAATTACTTGCTGTGAAAAAAGAGAGTTCTGTGACCCTGACATGTTACACCTCAGAAACTCTCCTCCAGCATCCAGCACTGAGGAAGATTTCCAAGAGTCACTCACTCCCACCTGGCCTCTACCAGCATGATGATGTGGGGTGCTGGAGGACTCGCACTGTGCGTTTGTTACTGCATGCGAGTCCTTACCTGGAAACAGTGGGAAACGGCAAAAGGACTGTCACCTTCTGTCCAGAACTATGTACCGATGAAACAGAGAACTGCACAGGGTAACAGCCTTCCTTGCTTCTACCGCTGCGTTCAAGATGAGAGCTTTTTAATAAAAATCCCAGCATGCGCCAATGAAGACAGCCAGAGATGCCTTCCAACCTGCATTGCCATGATTCTCTGACAGCAGAAAGGATGCTACTTCACCATTCTTTAAATATACCTACACGATCCCATGCTCAGGTTCCCCTTCTCTGACAACCTAGGCTCTAGATTTCTTGTTGTTTGAGGGTTTTTTCAGTGTTTCTCAGCAGCATTTGTATTTGTGAACAGATGAACACCACTGAGTTTGTTATTTGCCTTCACTGAGAGCATACTGGGAGCATACTCACACCACCCAGGAATTCCACCCCACAAATGTTTCTGCTATTGCACGGACCTAAGATTTTAGCAGTGCCCTTCGTATTTACTCTCATCTTGTGACCCATTATTGTTATGGCTTTTCTATTGCAGGAAAGACTGGCAGGACTGACAGGAGGTAAATATACTGTCACTGCCAGTTGTAACTTTACATTAGACTTCGCCTCTCCCCCAATTCCGCAAAACTGCTTCAGCTTCGTCTCCTGCACTGCCTCTCCCCTACCCTTCCCCTTTAAGGGCTGCCTCAGCTTCTGCTCCCCTCTGACTTGTGCATGGCGACTGCTGCTCAGGGAGCTGGTGCATCGGGCTGTGGCTGAGCAGAAGCAGCCTGTACTCAGGGATGAGACGGGGTAAGCAGGCATGTACAGGGGAAGCTAAAACTAACCCATAAATTATAGCTTCTCCCATGGGAAATTCAGAACAAGTTATTGGTTGCTCACTGATTGTATCAACATGATATTGAAAATGTTCCTGTATCTAAATATGGATCTAAAACCTGCTATGAGGAGTCAAAGGCATTCCCAAGGCCTGTGGCTTGAAACACATGTCCTTCAGACTTTATTTCCCTGGGCTAAACCCCTACTCCAGGGCTGCCTGTGACTGCGGGAATCAGACCCAAGAGAGCATGTCCTAAGCTGAACTCTCCAGAGCAGTGCCTGGGAAAATGGCAGTATATTGAAGGCAGAAACAATATTTACAGAAAAGTCAAGAGAAAGCCTCCTTCATCAGACCTGACAGCCCTTTCCTCCCCATGCAGGCTGATCCGACTGACCTTTATTTACTTCCAAAGTCTCCAGGCCAACTTGTCAGCCCAGCCCTGTATCACCCTGGACAGACTATGTTCAAGCTCCCCCATCTAGTCTCTTGTTGTGGCTGTCCTCTTCAGTTACTGCCTTCGTTTATACCCTACCTTCCCCATTTCTAACAGGTTTAAGATTTCTTCAGGTGTGAAGGGGTTGCATACCCAATACTTAATGTCCTTTCAGGAGCAGAGATTAGTTTACCTGTTTTACCACCAAATTTGCCACCAAATTCTCTGCAGCTTACCCTGATTTTAAAGTAGAGGATTTCAAGCAAGGATGAGAAGATGCTACTTGTACTGTCTCAGAGCCTGACAAGTGGACACGAAGCCCCAAGAAGAGACACAAGAGAGGGTCAAACCACGAGTGAAAATAGAAATGCCATGTAAAAAAAATGACATTATCTTTCCCACTTGAATCTCTTGAATGATCCCTTGTTGCCAAAAAAATTGTTGCTATTGAGCTAAAACCACAGTGCCATGAGCAGTAACTCACAACACAACCCATGCAGGATGTCAGTCCCACCTGAGGAAGGTGGCATCTTTCAGTGGAAGGCAATACTGCACAGACATTTTATCCATGCAAAGGAACACGGGACTAGCAAAACACAGTGAGCAGAAACATTTCCCAGCTCAGATGTAATGAACATAGACAATACGAGCCGAAGCGGAAAGTCTACACTGACTCAAGTACAGCTGAGCCACTGGAACAAGTCGTAATGAAACATGTTTCTTCATGTGGCCTCGAGCACTGGGACCAGCTGCAGACAGTGTTTCAGGGAGCACAGGCAGAGCAGTTACGTGGGGCTGCAACTAAAGCAGCATCTCCTCCTGACATTACAGCCGCCCACTCCACAGCCCCAGGTATTGCCTTTGATTCCTGCACAGAGGATGAACGCGCCCAGTGAGCGGGGAGATCAGAGTCACCACTTTGCAGGCATCAAATGAAACGGATGCCCTGCCCAGGAAGGGATCTTGTATTTGGCTGAAAGGTTTTTTTAACAAACAGGAACCTTACATGTTCTTTAAAAGCTCCTGTAAAACAGGATGAGATGCAGTTAGTGAAATAAACATTTGAAATCTGCAAAAGATACCAGTAGGTATGGTTAATGTAGAAGGAAAGTGGATTCACACCATCTCCTGAAACACTGTATTAAATAAAATCATTAGTGCCAATACACAAAGGCAGTGTTTTAAGCTCCTGAAAAACAGAGATAAATTAGTTATCACTTGAATCTTCAAATTCAAACGAGGAAGAAGTACAGCTTGAGTGTTAAAAAAGATGGGGGTTTTGCTGGCCTGAGTTTGGTTTAAAATTGAAATATGAATATATTCTGACACCCTTTGGGGTGTCCTGGTAACCAAAGTGGTCCTGTTTTTTCAGGAAACTAAGAACAAGTGCATCAGTACACACAGAGAAACAGTATGCCTAACGTACATCGGGCTGCAGTCAGGGAGAGGAGAAGCAAAGGGGCTGACCCAGACTGGAGGACACACTCTCAGCTATAACTGAGAGCCACTGCATCCCTCAGCACTTGTTAGCGCTTTGGAGTACTGTCCAAAACCAAAACAAACAAAAACATCTGCTGACCCAAATTTCTTACGCTTGAATCATGAGGTTAATTACTCCTGTTCTTTCTTCTAAACAGATCACATTAGCCCCAAAATCTGCACAGCCCTAAGCATTACCCAGAAAGGTACACTTTTCTCCACTAGAAAGCACTTCTTACAGGACCGAATGCTATGCTGACAGCATTAGATCCTTTCTTGGTTTCTTTCCTTATCCAAACTGACACTACAAGAGACTGAAGCTTGTGATAAAACCTCATGCAACCCCAGCATGGCTTCTTCTCGCCCCCTAGTTTGTCTTATTTCTTTCCTTGCTTGTTGAGGTGACCTTACCTCATCAAGACCAGGCCTGTCCTTTGCACAGCTGTCTAGAAAGGTTGTGGCCACACAAACAGCTCAAATTTCATTTTCTGCTTCTGGCCTTTAAACTTTTCTCCCACAGATCAGATATTCTTTTCTTTCATGCAGCTTTCTGATTACCAGTTACTCTTGGTGCCTACCGAATATGAGATTATTAACTCACTGCCCCCAGTGCACATGAAAAGCGAGAGGACAAAGGTCTTAGTTTGCAGCCTGAGCAAACCTGTTTGTGAACAGTGTTCCCAGCACAGTGTTTGCCCACCAAATGCTACTTCTGGGATAGATGCAGACTTACTCCAGCATTGTTATCGCTACGTGATGCTTAGAAGCAGGAACAAACAACATCCAGGTTGTGCAGTACTTCTGGTGGTGTCAAGAAAGAACAATACAATGGCACTTGAAAGGTGATGAGATGGTATGGCACTGGAGGCATAGCCCGACACAAAGCTGCGGGAAGATACTCCATCAGGAAGCAATTGCCTTAAGCGCTGGGAGGGAAATTAACTGGAAAAGATCAGAGAAAGTAAACAGAGATCTTGGAACAGATTGAGCCTACAACAGCCACTCTATATACTGTCTAAGTTACCTGGGTAATTTGGTAGAGGAAGTTAAACATGGACTTTTTTGATATTATATATTGATTGAATATTTTTAGATCTGTATTTTTTACTTTTACCCTAACTATACATTAAATGTTGATCTAGAGGAAGGTGGAGATTTTCACTGCTATTTAAGAGATTGGTATGCATGTTCTATTCAAAATAATGGGTATCTATGTATCCAGGAACTTTAAGACACTTCAACAAATTAAGCTAAAAATAGGAAATGCTTTCCTACTTTTAGTGTCAGAGTGAGACACAATAGAGTGAGTTTTAGATTATCCAGCAACACCCATTTCCCAACACTGGTACGGTGGAGCATTTTATCCTGCACTATTTTTAGAGAACTGGGAGGGTATTAGGAAATTACCTAAATAAGGAATGTTCTAGTTCTTCCTTCTCACAGCTGCTATTCATATTCCAGGGCTCTAGTTAAACCTCTTGGGACAAA